AAGTTCTTGTTGAATGTAATCGCTTCCTTCTGGTTCACCTCTGAGACGAGCAAGGTTGGCAGCGGCCTGGTCGAGCTTGCCCTTCTTGACGTAATATCTTGGGGATTCAGGGAGGAAGAAGAGACCACCACCTAAGATAAGAGCCCATGCCATTTGGAGACCAATTGGAATTCTGTAGGAACCGGTATCGAGACGGTTTTGGGTACCATAATCGACACAAGATGCGAGGAGAAGACCGATGGTAACGCAGAACTGGTAACCAGAAACTAAAGCACCGCGAACCTTCTTGGGGCAAATCTCGGACATGTAAAGAATGATGGTAGCGGAGACGAAACCAACACCGAAACCGGCGACCAAACGACCAGCGACGAGAAGACCAAGACCGGTAGAAGCAGTTTGCAAGATGACACCGATGATGAAGATGATACATCCGAGGATGACAGTAGTTCGGCGACCAATCCAATCAGCCATGTCACCGGCCATGATAGCACCAAAGAAGGTACCGGCAGAGAGAATAGATGTGATCAAAGATTTATCCGAGGCGGGAAGAACGAAAGCAGCTTTCTCGGCATCTGAAGCACCAATACCGGGAATTGGTTTGCCAGTCTGAAGGGTAGTAGGTTAGCTAATGTTTGTGACATGGGGTAATTGAAGTCATGACGTACATATAGATTGATGAAATAGTTCATTCCCATGACACCAGAGATATATCCAGAATCATAACCGAAGAGGATACCACCGAAGGATGCAAAAGCACACATCATGTATGCCTTTGCTGTTACGGGTGCCTCAATACGGGCAACATCCGTGGTTCCAGCCGCTGTCATTGTTGCGGTTGACTAGAAATGTATGGGAGGGAAGAGAGAGAGGGAAAGGATAGAGTAGATGTAGAGTGAAGCTGGCACTCGAGATCAATTATTGATCGAAGAAGTATTGAATAGACTTTGTTGATGAGACTGATGGGGAAAAAAGATGTATTTGGGAGGGATTTTGAGTCCCTTTTGTATCTGTGTCCCATGGGAAATGGGGTACTGGGGTACGGAGTGAATTGGCATGGTTTACACGCTTGTATGGGGTGCTAGCGCTAGTACGGCCATGTCGCCAAAAAAAAGTCTTCCATATCTAATTGATCTAATTGACTCCAGATGGAGACGCCGCACTCCACAGCAAATAGCGTTACCCCATGTCTTCGATGATCTCTCTCCAGACGTCTAGACATGCATGCAGCTATGGCCCAGCCGAGGAGTTAGTCCGTGCGTGCAGTACCCCGAGTAATCGGTCCGTCTTTGTAAGGGATCAAGACTAACTGTACTAGGGACGGAGAAGAGTGTGAAAGTAGATAGGTACTGGACTAGGTAGCATCCTCGATTTTGGGGAATAATGTTTGATGAGTTGCAAGTATCGCTTGGCGGTCAGTATGAAAGTGTAAATGTGCTAACGGTATCGAGTTAGACAGGTATGTGATCGATTGGCTGATCAAGGCATTGTATGGTGCTAGATGCTTAAATCAGTCAGTGAATGAAATCTAATGATTATTAATTTTCTTTTTTGCTTTCTCATCTCATTTGCTGAAATGAATGATTTGAAATGTCTTCTTTCGGGATTGCCCCCCCGTTCATGGTCTTGAATTGATCCAATCCTGTGGTTCGTACCATTCAAACTCGCCCTCAGGGAAGGGAGATCACGACTCTCATTGGCCTTGACTGATAATTGATAATCGATTTTAACGATTTATGCAATTACCAAAATCCCAACTCCCAATTTCTCTCAACGGTATAGCCGATAGATGCTTATTGGAGATGCTTATTGGGGATCCTTTTGGCCCCTCCACAAACTTTGGATCTGGAGAGTTTGATGCACCTGAGATCTCTCGAGCCTCTTTCGTGGCAACTTGGAGTCTTGGAGTCAGATGTTTCGTACACCAGCTTGTGGATCTTCAACAGTAACGTTGTCGAAGAACATCACGACAGCAATAAAGATATGCACGCTCGAGGCAAAGGACGTACATAATTGACCGAATCTCATAAATATATCAGATATCCTAGTTGAGGATCATTTCATGCATCAACCCCCCATGTTCAAGACTTCAGAGGCGATGGAATTCAAGCCATCGACGTGATCAATCGTTGGGTGTGAAACTAATTCGTCTTAGTACACTTAATTTGTTGTTCCTACATACTTCAATCTAATGACTGGGTGAGAAAATACCTTGGATAAAGTTACCTACCTACCACATTCATCTGCCACATTCGCCTGCCTATGTAGTTCCTCGTAATTGATCAATACAGAAAACCACGTTATCACGAATATCCATAGTCTGAACTCTGGTACAAGTCCATTACGAGCGCCTCCGAATCAAATGACCACTTCATTTTTAAATCCAAGCTTCTGGGGCGAGGTACCGGTAGGCCTTTGCGGCTTCATGGGATTTGATATTTTTCGATGGAGTGTGGGAGACTGAAAAGTGTCAAACGTGTGTAGCGGCGTCGGCTATTAGTCTCATTTTGAGTGCATTAGTATTAACTTTGTAGGAACTGAGCCACATTGCTCCAGCTTTTAGTGTTCAAACTAGAATAACAAACTTATTTGATGGAGAACCAATTTTTTTCATGGGATTTGTAAAGCATTTTAGTGTCTGATGTATAGTCTACAGTCTGGATTTTACGGGCAAATCCGTTGACTTGTTCTGGAATCTTTCCATGCCATGCCCCAACACTCGACTATTAGTAGATAGTATAGTCTAGAGGCTTCAAGTTTTAGATCTAGTATCATGTGAATGCAAAACAGGCTGATATGTCTGGACTCCGGACTCTGGACTCTGGGCGGTGGACGGTCGATTCGGGGGGTTATTGCAAGTACACACTCTCGTGGTTGAAGCATACTGTCCATATCTACCAATGTATGAAAATCTCTTCTCAACATTTCACCCGTAGATAAGATTACGCTGTCAAGGAACCCCGAATATGAGCTGTCAACGAAATAAGAATAAGAAATGAAATCGCCCGAAGAATATCCCAATTCCGGCACAGTATAACCGTAATTCTACCAAATGCCCTGGTGACCAGTGACTGATCACTAGTGACCACGTCCACGTCCACGTCCAACTTTGAATGGAGCCATTGACGATTGGGCCCCCTCACCCATTGTTTACTTGTGGGCTCGGGTGTACCAGCTTAAAAAAAAACGTGTTGTGGTTCTTGGCATGTTGACCCCCGGGCTTGTAAACTGCTTGGCTGCAATGTTAAACGCCGAGGGAGGACGTGTTTCCTGGATATGGCGCTGGGATAGTGTCAGATATTGATATTACGATGGATTCCGTTTGTGATGGCGTCTATTGACTCTAGGTATTCACACGTTTGAAGTCATATGATTTGAGATTTGAGATTTGAGATCTTGGTATTGTTGTCGTTGGAGGGTAGAGGGTAAAGAAGTAGATGAATTAGATGAATTAGAGTTCATATAACGTTATATCCATCCTTCCACATATTATATTATTCATCACTACCGATCAACGGTACTTTGTTCAGAGGAGAGAGAATCATGGTGTGAAGTATCTTCCTATCTGTTTGTTTCCACCTTTTCCCTTTTCCCTTTTTCCCTTTTTCCCTTTTTCCCTTTTTCCCACCTATTCCATCCAATTTTCCCCTTCGCCTTTCCTTCCCTATTTTCTTTCGTTCTCCCATCAGAAACCCACTCATTCATCCCACTCATCTCCGATCAAGGCAGTAGCTACTAAGTCCGTCCCCTTTCTTTCCTGCTTTCCCACAATTACTCCAGAGTTCAAACACTCCAGAGCCCAGAGAGAACTTAGAGAAGAAAGGAATAAGAACCCCCAGGTTCCCCACTCCCCGCTTTCCTCACAAATACGACACGACCCAAACTCCGTCGACAACATTCCTACTTTAAAGCAAAGGGGATATCCGCATTTACGCATAAGCATATGGAGGTAATCGGCCCTTTAACATACTTGCTTCAAATTTTCAATAACCCCAGGGCCCCGTATGAATCTGTCGTATCCACTTCGACATCTCCAGACCGTATCATTAGTTTCTCCACTATTCATTCCCCTGTCCCCCAACTTTCCACTTTGCTACACCACGAGCACCTCAAAACGTTCGTTTTTTTTTCTAATGTCGTCGGCCGAGATCCCCGCCCCACCTCTCACTCAGAATTGAGAACATATCACGAGACAAAGGCTGATTCTATTTTGTACTCGAACGAGAATCAGCTTTCACGAGTGTATTACAAGCCTGACGAGCTGAATGAATGGACTGATAATTGATGATTGATGGTTGATGATCGATGATCGACGACATGAGGCTGGATGACTGTATCACTCATTCATAGGCGCCTCCAAGCTGAAGCCCACCAGTGGCCTAGAGACATTCTGATCTGAACCGATATAAAATCATGCCATCTCACTCTGTACTTTTCGGGCAGCTTGCAAAGCACTGTCTGTGCTGACGGTACCTTGGATTTGGTTCAACCTTACCGCCATACAATACATCCTCCTCCTTTGCAGCCAGCGGCACATATGTTCCAGTTCCCGTTCACCGCAGCAACGCCGATTGGACGGCTGGGTTGTCTCCTTTTACAAAATGTAAGTGTTTTCCGGATATATAATCTTCCCTTTCTCCTTACCAGCCACAAATCTGTCTTCGCTTTGAAATATCGCGAGTTCTAGAGTTGGAGCTTTGAATCAATAAATCATGTTAATCCACAACAATGTCGGCACACGACAATGGAAGGGGAGAAAATTCAAACGTGGGACCAGGGGATACAAAAGAAGCTTCAAGCTTCGACCCAAAATATGCCCCTTCATCTGGTGGCGTGGCGCCTCCGGCTATCACTTACGGATATTGGTTTACGTATTCTACCGATTATTTTCCTTGGTAAAGGTGGACGTCGGGACTCGGAAGAATGGTTGCGATATCTTTTAGTCACGGGAAAAGCTAGAAGTAGAAAGGGCTTGAGACTGAAATATGATCTAGAATATCTCAATGGCTTCTCGATTTTCTTTCTCCTATTCCAAGAAATTCCGAGGAAGTGCGCAACGTCGCGATTGTTCGCCAGTGCGATGCCAGGTAAGTAATGTAGGCAAGTTACCATTCAATTTACCGATCGTTCAACTGTTATTCATCAAATTGAACTCTTCACATGCGAAGTATGCATTGCTTGCTAACTCCCTTCTTTGTTTTGACCGATTATTGCATTATCGCAATCGAAGCATCGCAGCATCAATGACACGACCTTGGATATTTTCCTATCTATCTTCCGATTTCAGCCGTATCTTATTCGGGTAGAGGACAGTAACGTTGCGAAAGGTCCGGACGTACGAGAATCATGGTGCGGTGCACCAAGTTGTTCTGGAAGATGCGAAGAAGAATAGGAAACAAGATAACGATCAATAGACAAGTACAAGTACGACGGATCTACGGTATGATATGATATCAAGTGTTCAATTTATCGATGTTATCTTATGGTCGCAGTACAAAGTCAACACTACATTCTACTGTGAATGACCGGGAAGACTCGGGCAGTATTGTACTGCGCTTCGATCAACTGCTCATGGAGACCGTAGTGCTTTCTGTGCACTCGGTGTAATATATTCGCAGTTCAGCGTGGATGACGCAAGGAGGGTTTATATGAGGAAATCAAGTACTCTGATTATCATATACCCAATGGCCACCTTCCACATGCTATATGAACGCAGAGAATTAGTGTTCGAGTTGCATTGAGTTGATTGCGATCAGCCTATACCTTGGCAGACAAATGGTTTCTTGCAGTGTGATGCGTGGGACTCTATGTTACGAGCGGAGATGCCGAGTTTCTTGTTTCTTCTTTGCACGTTGAGACGTGGGGGAACTATGATTGTTGTCATATCATACTCTTTCGACGTCCCTCGAAACTCTCTGCCGGTTTCGAAAGATGATTTATGGATTTGTTGTTCGGGTACCCTCAAGCAATAAATACACTATCCGAGGATAAGCAGCACCCTTTTCTCAAACATATTCAAATCTCGATGCTTGTGCGCACAAGGTATTGAGCGAGCCACAAGTCCCAGCTTAGTAGGTTTAACTATTCAATTTCTTGTTCTTCACTTTGAGAGATCTTAGTTTCAAATTGAGATCTTTTCTTTTCTACTGGTCTGCGCTCTTGGGTATCACTGTCATTAATAGTCCTTCTCATCGTCATCTTTTTTTGTTCTTTTGATCATGATAAAAATCTGCTACCGATGCCATACGTATATCCAGCATTCATTTTCGACTGTTCTATCTTTAAGGCAATATATCTTTGACTGATATGTTCATTGGATCTGGACTTTCGATGTCTGTTAGTGTTACATCTTAATAGATTTATCCTTTCACGTAGCCCTGCTGCGTCATGACTTCCTCATCGTCAGCAATCCCACTATCACCCCCTTCTCTCAAGCTATCAAGATGTACAGAGACAGCGCAAGGATTTCACAATGTGAATTGATCGGTTCACTAACGCCTTCTAGAAAGAAAGATCTAATGTAGTGTTAATTAGGACTTACATCATCTGTTTGTATCGGTCTCGTACCTGTTTGTTGCGGATAAATTCATTGGTTGTTAAAGTAGGAAGGAGAATTGTCATTCGCATTGCCATTTTGATAATCAGTATATCGAACTATACAATATTTCTTTCCGTTGAAAGCATATTGACACAAGTGTGCGACTTTCCGTATCATTTCATCGTTGTCCCTGCTCCGTTGTTCCTCGGAACTCAAATTCTTGGTATGATGGGGGGAAAATGAATCATTCTCTGAATATTACCTACTTCATAATGAATGTCCTCCATAGCTCCCTCCTCCTATGTATAGAAAGGAAAATAAAAAAGCTGACTCAACCTCTATCCTTTATTTCAGGTTTGGGATTTGAATCTTCATGAGAATGAGATGAAGAAAGTGAATTTAAACTTTGCAAATGGATACGGGCGCGTTGATTATGGGATTGTGGGCGGGAGATGGGATGGGTATATATATCTGCTCTCCGATACTTAAAAGGTTCAAGGGAGTTGGATACAAGAATTTGTTAAAGAGCTGAGGAAGAGGGAGGATCTGTGGTTTATGGGGATTGGAAGGTTGGGAGGGAGTTTGATGATTTTTTGAGCTTGAGCTTGCTTGAGTGGTGGAGTGTTTTGTAAGAGGGAAGATGGGTATTTTTTGGTGCGGCTACCTAATTATTGCTTGTTACTTGTCACTCTATTTTTTTCCTGGTTGTTTCGTTGTTAGTGTGAAAGTATCATTATTGATTTCTAGATTGGTTGTTGTATTTTGTTTTTTCTTCAAATTATCTGTTCTAGTTTAGTATCTCCTCTCGTAACATATTGGAGAAAATTATTGATTTTCTAATAAATTGCAATTCATATGTACATGTCCCGATATACGGTCATACTTACTTTGTCTATTATCCCGCATGAAGTTGAATTCGTCAGGAAATATAATGAGTTAGATCTATAGTGTTGATACTTGCTTTAGTTGAAACCTTTGTTCAGATATTCTGTGTTTAAGTTCTCATGGAGTAAAGAGATAATCTTGAGTTGTATTCACCTTACCTATAGCTTCGGGCTATGAAAGCTTTGGTAGAAAAATGCACCTCTTCCTATAAAATTACCATGGTTTCTTCTCCTGTTCCCCATACAAACCTTGAGAAACGAACTCGAGAATTTATTCAAGGCTATCTCCAGCAAGGGAGGACGATGATGTGTCGAATAATCGCAGGACACTTTAAAAAGTTGTCATGGAGATCTGGAGAGAGGAGTTCAGTTTACGATATATGGTCGCAAGTAAATGGAACTTCACTCCCATCTCATCGAATTTTCAATAGATCATCGTTGTTGTCAATACTTATTTCCATCAATTAGACTCTAGATGGTTATGCTGTCATCTCTCATGAAGTTGCGACATCGAAGTTTAATAGAGGCTACTTACTTCTAGACGAAATGGAATCTGTATTTTTATTAGATGAGATATCCTGTAAGTAACTAACTCACTTAACAAAACCTCTGATCTCCCACACCTGTCTCTCCATATGCCATTCTTTTCAAGTATTGGTTAGTTTTCTTTCGAATGAGAGAATCGTCGATATATGTACCTCAATATCCCCAATTCTATCTCGAATCTTCACATGTATTTACTTTTCTCATCGGTGAACAAAAATAGAGAGAATGGGCCGAGAATTTTTGAGCTTGGGAGAAAGCTGAGTAGTAGCAGTTAAACGTGATAGGAGTTTAAGATTAGCTTACTCAGTGACAGTCTACCTTACTGTCGCTGTCTCTTTTATTCACATGATTTTGTTATTTGAATTTCTTTCATGGTTGATGGAAAATTTCACCACTTGAAACGGATTGATTGATAGCATCACTCGCCATGCGGGAGTTTGATTTGACCTTAGCTTCATACCTATATTTTGAAATAAATAATATCTATCACCCATTCATTCACATGGATGTATGATTAATTCTTACTGCGTATGTAAAAAGTTCGGATCATTCTTACAAAGAAATTTTCCCTTTTGACATGTGTGTACTTATACTTCACAGTTCGCATTACTACGATATTCAAGACCGAACCCCCTTCTCGTTTACTCCAGATATCTCTATTGAAGTATCACAATATTCTACCCGCATGAGTCGTATCCCTATCAAGCTCCCAAGTGTCGAAATCCCAAAGTCATTCACGAGTATGATGCCTCTTGAGTCTCTTCTTCATACCCTTTACTCTCCTTATATACACATATCATACCATTTTCTGGAAGCTTAGGATCTGAGGGGACAACGATCAGTTCATTTGAAGTCCAAAAACTAAACCACTGGTTTATAGGATCTTAGCGACAAGACAGTAAGATGTACGAGTTTCTTTACAAATCTGTTCGTTGTCGAGTCAAAGCCAGCGTTGTCATTTCAGAGCGATATTGTTATCACTTGCTTTGAATTGCTTCACATAGTTTCAAATTTTACAACACCGTTGACCTCGAACCTGGTCAGATCTATCGAGTAAAATATCTCAACATGGAATATTCTCCCACATATTCTCTCTCTGCCTTAGCTCTATCTGTTCGCGCTTCATGATCTTATAATGTGAAAGATAGCTTGGACTTTCGGATGTGGTATTTTATACTCACAGAGTGCAAGTCGATTGTGTATCTGGCATTATTTCTTTCTGTCTCTTTCATACAGTACGAACCCACATCAAAGATCAGTACTTTCCTATCAACTTTCCTGTTTGAGTCTGCATGCATGATTTTAACTTAGTAAGGTATATAAACAGTGTTTTTCACTCTCTGTGCTCCTCAAACAATAAACAAGACATTTCAGACAAATGGGTCAAGAATTCTGTCTGACTTCTAATACACCGGGTTTGATCTCCATACTACTCACGTACTGTTGTCTTCCTTCTTTTCTTAGTCTCTATCACAGATAGTGAGACATGCCAACTCTCTGAAATCTACAATATTGCTATTCCCTCAATGATTATTAAATCTAGACAGAAAATGATATCCTGTTCGAATCGATAACAAAATAACCCCGTCCATCTTCAGCCTCTGAACACCTCCAAGAAATCTCCTGGGCCTAGCAAAGTTACAACAAGTAGCAAGATCACCATCAGAGCCAGGAAACTCGGAGGGAACCTCCCAAGTGGCAATTTCTATCGTCTGGTATTTTTGAGGGTTTTAGGGTTGGAAGAAATGGTTATTTTATAAAAGAGTATCGAATTACAACTCGACCCCGAAGCTAGGAAACTGGTAAGTGATATTATGAAAGTCTGGTTCTTACGCATGTGAATAGATACATAGCGAATATGGTACTTACTCATCTCCTACTACCTACCAAATCCAATAGGTAGAGATGTTCGAACATCCTCAATGGAGTCTTGCAATAAGTAAGTATATAAGTTACATACCATTCAATTCCAATAGCGTGTGTAGTATGGGGTCTAACCAGACGCGCAGAATGCAAGCAGGTGTATAATGTACAGAGCAGGATACGAGTTTCGTTTGTATGCAAATCACAAGCTAACCCTGTCTCTTCCTTCTTCCAAGCATGTGAAGAATAAGAGAGTTCGAAGGAGTTGAACACATATGAATAGTGACAAAGAGATGTTTGAGCTAGTATTGATAGCGAGTGTTTTGATAGCCGAAAACACTGAACTCGGCAGTCTTAGCGATGATAATAATAAATGACAAGTAAAGGTGATGGGCGATAATTGAAAAGTACTCGCGCAAATTCAACTGGACGAGATCGATACCCTTCGAGCTTAGTTGGTATCTAGAGCTGGCTCGATCGAAAAATGAAGTTGAGGTCATTCAGCTGCTTCTATAGAGGTCAGCGAAACTATTTGATGGAAGGAATGACATGTTACAAGCC